AATCCTGTCCCTCGCCCCGCGTTCCTCCCCGCGGGAAAGTGCGTTGCGAGGCCAGCGGGTGCAGTAGAGGGGATGGGGCTCCAGATCGGGATGGGTTTGCAGCCGCGGGGGTTGCTGTTCCTCAGGAACGTCGCCCTCCTGCTGGTGGTGGGCTGCTCCGGTGAGTCCCTCTGTTTGGGGGGGGGAGTGCGGGATTTGCACTGGGGATAGTGTGTGGGGGATGTCGCTATGCATTTCCTTGGCTCAGAAACGGGAGGGAAGGAGGGGGGAGTATCTTCTTTCTTTCCCATCTCAAACTCTTGGCGGTTGATGTGCATGCGGCGCGCACGCACACACACTCTGGCCCCACCACTTTCCCCAGGGCCCCACCACCAGAAAGGTCCTAGCTACGGGCCTGAGTAGGCACCGGGATCAGTTCTGGTAAGTCCCTTCTCCAAACTCCTGGTAGGCTGTGGCGCTCCCTCCTTTCCAGGTCTGTTAGCCATTCTTGCTAGAGGGCCTCCCCAGGCCTCAGAATGGGAAGGGAAGGGGGCTGTGTCACCTGGTTCCAGTTTGCGCAGGCTAGAGCTGTGCCTGTCCTCCCTCCTTGGCCTTTTACAGGAGCCCTTTTTAAAGAGGCTGTCTACCCCATCTTTCACCATAATCCCCACCTCCCCAGCCATACCTGGCCTGTTCTTGGGGAAGGGTGATTGCTCTCTCCTCCTCCTCCTCCTCCTCCTCCTGCCACTTCTCCTATTGGCTGTGCCCTGAGGCTGGCTGGGGCAGGCGGGGAAAAAATCTCCTATTGGCTGTGCCATGAAGCTGGCTGAGACAGGCTGTGGAGCCTCTGGACCTGCTCCTGGTTTTCCTGGCCAGCTCCTTCCCAGGCCTCAGGGCCAGTCCTGGCTTGCTCTGTGGCTGCTGGTGCTGATGCCAGGTTGGGGTGCCTTAAGGCCGGGCCCCAACCGGTGCTGGCTGCAGACTGCCGTGCCAGCCCTCCCAGTGGGGGGGTGTCTTGGAATCCAGCACCATTCCTGGACATAGGCCTTGCATGTCTACAGTGAGCATGTCACTTGACGTTTGTGCCTCACACCACACAATGAACTCTTCCACACTTGTCCAAACTATGCAGAGGGTTTTTCTCCCTGACGAAGTTCAGGAGTACCTTGATTTTTGTCTGTGCTCTAGAATCTTCCCACATTTGAGCCTCTGCATAGGATTGCACTGCAAATGGAGCAACCACCTAGATTTAGGTTGGTCAGCACCAACTGCGGGAATACAGATTTTCCACTGTGAAAGCGGATCTTGTGATGGACATAGTTTTTTTTACCCACATGCGGCTGCTGGGGGGGATTTTGCGCCCATCACGGAACCATGTGACCTGGGGTCGAGGGAAGCTGGCGATTCGGGGAGCACGGATGACGGCAGCTTCTCCATGTGAGACACTCTGCTGCTTCTCGTTCTCTTCAAAGCTCCCCATATCTGCAAAAGAAACAACAGTCAATGTGTCATCTCCAAGTGCTTAGAGGTTCCCAAACTTCGGGTCGAGGGAAGCTGGCGATTCGGGGAGCACGGATGACGGCAGCTTCTCCATGTGAGACACTCTGCTGCTTCTCGTTCTCTTCAAAGCTCCCCATATCTGCAAAAGAAACAACAGTCAATGTGTCATCTCCAAGTGCTTAGAGGTTCCCAAACTTATTTGGCCTACCGCCTTGTTTTCAGAAAAAAAAATTACTCAGTGCCCCCCTGGAAATCTACCTTCAAGAAGTGGACAAAAAGATGCAGCTTGTGGATCTGCACCTGGATCGTTCCAGCGCCCCCCAGGGGAAGGTATTGCCCACTTTGGGAACCAGTGGCTTAGACCAAAGGCAAGTCTCAGGCTTACTTTTGGCTTCCCAAATCTAGTCCTAAAGCAGAGGTCATTTCGGGGGGAAACGGGTGACGTGCAGGGGGGCGGGGCACACGATGAAGCCCTGCCCCCTGCTTCTGGCCGCCCCGCTTCCAGCCCTCATTCAGCCAGGAGGAGGCAGGAGAAGAGGGAGGGTAAGTTGCTCCCTCCCCGCCTCTCCCCACCCCTGCCTGCCTGGGGCCTGGGAGGGCCTTGGCGGGGCTTCCTCGCACTTTCGCCGGCCTTGCAGGTCCACCACCGGGCCCCTGATGTCAGGGGGTGTAGCATATGCTAATGAGTTATGCTAATGAGTCCCCCTAGCTCTTTTTCTACGAAATGACCCCTGTGACCTAAAGCATATATGCATGGTATATAGTTTGGCAAAGGCATATAGGAGCCTAGAAATTATCGAAAATTGCATTAGCCAATCTCCAAACTCTTTAGCTACAGCTATACGCATTTGCTCAGGCACCTGAAAAGGCTAGATTCCTCCACTGATTCCACAT